GTTTCTCGCATGCTACGCTGAGTGGCCAACCGTTTGGACGACAATTAGAGGGAGTTTGTTTGGACTGAATCGAATGGAGAAAATGTCAGGCATTCACAAAGGTCGTTACTATGGATCCAACTAGCTGTATATACCGATATGTTTCACTCGCCCTCTGCCTGCGTTTTCGCCTGGTCCGTTTGTTTGCAGAATATACGTTTTGTCCCTGAAGGACAGACTTTTACGAAGACTTGCCTCAAACTTATATTCACTGACGCATGTTTCCGCCACTATCCAAATCGACCGTTTGACGAAGTATGTCACATCGTAATGTATATAATCAATGAAGAAACATAAGCGCGGTGTAGCGATGAAGATAGCCACTACATGTAGAATGATTGGATGATTAACTATTCTCAAACGAAGATACCCTACTTTGAATTTTTTGGCGTGCCTGGGGGCCAAGTAATGGGGTTCCAGCATTTTCGCCACAACTAAATCTCGGCAAATAGATCCTTTGATATTCTCTGCACCGTCACTCAACTTCATGGGGATTCCACAAATCAGCCTCCAGGTGATGCAGCATAGCATCAAAAGAACGGGAATTTTCCCGGTTCAACTACTGTCAAAAGCCGCTTTCTATGGAAGATCTTGTCAAGGTGCTTCGGCAACTGAAGCCAGTACGGTAGGTGAGCAACTTCTATTAGGGTATTGCTATATTTCTTTTCCCTTACTAAGCACGCTCATGCTTGAGTAGACGCTCGGAAATTTCAAGATGGTTCGGTTGATGCGTCCACGCCGAAATGATGGCAGTTCAGTGAATAGTGCACGACTCCGGTGTGCCCATTGCACACGTCCAGACACAGTAGGGTGTCGTCCTCCACGTTCTTATCGTCTACCCGGACACCATGCAATATTAGCAGGTTTACCGTCGAAAACTGGCCTTCCTGGACTATCCAGTGAAGCAGGAAAGAGCGGTGCTCCTCACCCTGATTTCCGTCTTTCTCAATTTCGTAGGAACACAACGTGCATTTCGTGCAGTCAACTTTCGTGCAAGTGGGTAATGTTTGTGTCTATTATCCACGGTCCTAAGTGGCTATGCACCACTATACACGGAAAAGAATCATGTAGCTTAGTCTTCAACCGAAAAAGGCGGACTACTATTAGGTGCATAGTTCAGATTTCATTCAGTCCTCAGATGGAGTAGCCTTCGTTCTCCACACAAACTCACACAATATTGAATACAAAGGTTAGGACTGTTTCCACTTCTTACTATCTCTGGTGTTTTCTTCGAACATGAGGAGTCCCGCTGTGTTTATGTCACATCACTGATTATTGCTGGCGGTGTATAACACGCTGCTGTGCGGTTAGCGATCCCAATGAATGGCAGTTATGGTCACTGCGCAATATGAGGCCAGTGGGCGATTTGTTGCGTCGTTGGTGTGTAGTTGTGATTATCGGGTGATTGATACTGTTGGCCGCATGTTGGTTTTTTAAACAGGTCAGTTGTGTTATGCCGGAGTATCGTGTAATCAAGCCGCTTACATTGGTTTTCTCATGACTGTCGTAGGCTTGCCGGCAGCTGTTTCTAAGTGTACAATTCGTCAAACCTACATCCAGTGAGTAAATACTATCGTCAGTGAACGATTCAACAAAAGGCAGGGAGGATATTAGCAAGCGCTTGAAGAGTCCGTCTTTTTATCTGAAGTGCTTCCTATTGGAGATGGTGCCGTAACGGAATCGGTATCCCTGAAGCATTCACTTGCTTGCTTCTGATTTTAAACTCCAACATCTGGTCTGCTTACCTCTGACGTATTAGTTCTACCTTGCACGCCACGTTCGCCTTTTCCTGATGAATTTGGTAAATATTTATATTACTGTTTTCGTTGTTGGAGTCTGTGGCATCGTCAAGTTACCAACTACACTATAATAGGAATTGATCTCGCATTTGATTCATCATGATGCAATGCATACGCATTTCGTAGTCGCTGGACGAATGCATGTGCCTTCTTCTGGTTAGCTAGCTCTGTTATATTTACATGATGTCCAGACATTCGTTTAATATTACCGAGTTCCGGTTCTGCTCTAACGGAAAGGATATCAACGGTGCAACCGTCTCAAACACTCCTTATAGATGACAGCTGTAGCTTGAACCGAGTTTTCCGATGTTCTTCGGAACGGAATGGCTAATGTCACCCGTGAATGCGACACACAAAGTGCAACAGGGCAACTGCTGGTAAGGCACGAAGGAGCAGTGTATTTTGTACACGGGTATCCGGAAACACAATGCGGCCCTAATTAAACCATTTGGATATATATTACGGCATCTTACACACTGACTGGCCCTCAAATTCTGGTCAGTAGTTCTTCCGTTTCGACCGTACATAATTCGACGTGTTTATGTACTTATGGTGCAAGCGTCATAACAACAAAAACAAACAACCTACAGACCAGAGAGGTAGATAATGAGTAACTAGTTCTTTTCGACAAGTCTCGTCAGCCTCAGATTGTACATAATGACGAGTACAAGCTAAATGTGACGGATAGGGCCACGTGTTGATTAGTAAGTTTTGTTCCAACGGAAACGGATCGATACATCACGCGGTTACTGAAGGTAGTGGATTATGTGCAATGACAAAGCACTTTCACAACCAAAGATTAAATAGGGTACAAATCAAAGGATCATGCAATGACAGTAGTGGTGTAGGGAGGCGGAAGCCAGCGTTTGCCCAAAGGACGGTCAGATCATTAAAACGGAGGCGGACGAATAGGGAGACCGATGCAATGGGGGCGATTCGCTGGAGAAACCCAGGCCCAATAGAACGGGACGAAAACGGGACAGGAGCGGCATCCGTGGATGAGCCCGAGACAGGTAAAGCAGGTGGAGAATTTGTTGAAGACGCAATAAATCGGACAAAACCGCCGGTATCGCATCTTCAAGACACAACCCCGGGGAGAGTGATACACCCACGGTCAAGGAAAGCGCACGCTATCGAACGACTCCGGGCTTGTCAGAATCGGAGGTGTGGAAGCGAAGGTACACGGGCGAAACGGACATAGAAGATGCGTTCCCGTACCCCCAGAAGGAGCATAGAAGCGCCACGAGCGGAGGCCAGGAGGGGTGATGCAACCTGGGAAAGAAACCTGACTCATTAATGTGCGCCTGTGTGAGTGGTAGTGTGGTGTGTGTGTGTTTGCGCCAATAAGGATCGTGCTTCATTGCCGCGTACCTCTGTCGATAAAGTAGGTCACAGTAGAACTAAGGGCTTACAAACTGCTTTTGTACGCACAAGAGCGGTGTGAGGTGGCGGCTGTGGATAGCTTCCGCGTTAGGTTGGCGATGCTTCCGGATTCCGCGCGAGAAACGCTCAGTATTAAAGTAGTTGTTCCTGAAGTCATTTTCTGAGCCTGCGTGACCGTAGTTTAGGAGATGTAACTTGATGAAGCTACTAGAAAACCTTGCTTCATCTCGGTAAAACTACTTCGGAATGTGTTTACGCTTCACATTGGGACCCGGGTATTGTGCACCACGGGTATTCTACTCTATTCTTAAGCGTTTCTTACGCGGACTACGAAAACATCTGGCCATATCTGCCATCTCAAGCCCGGGTTGTGTGTACAAAGCAGTGTACACGCCCCCTTTCTTCTCCCTTCGTCCAGAACTTCCGTTACGTAATCTTTTGGTTTGTGCCCCAGTTAATCTCTGATGGTGAAAGTGATTTGCCGTTGTACATAATCTGCTACCTTCTGTGACCACATGGTTTACCAATGCGTTTCAGTCCCTTTCGTACCCTTATGAGCACGATTTCCCGGTATCACTTGAACTATACATTATCTTTATACATTATACATTATCTTTATTCTTATGGCAATAATCAATATTAACTCCTATTCAGCACATCTAACATAAGTTACAAACCCTCTGTGTGATGATATAGGAGAATGCCCCGTACATGGATTGATCTGCACTTAGGCGAAATTAATTGCAACGGTTTATTTACTATTCATGAGGAGTTCAAATTGGGGGTAACCATATCGTTCGTAAGAAACACAGTAACACACTAGCACATCAGTGTTTTTCACATGACATGAAGTGCACAATAAAAGCAGTCAACAAGTATCTAGTTGTTTTGAAGCAATTGATCAATTTCATTCCAATCGATGAAGGTTGTCGTGCTCACTGCATTCCCATCGTCCGTGAGCTGATCCGATTCCGCATGTGTCGTCGGCCAACCACTCACAGTGAAAATCTAAAAGGCATTTGGGGTACGGTTCAGATGTGGAACAAACGGCGCATAATCCATGACCTACTGTATAGGATATAGGGACCAAGATTATGTAACATACACAGAAGTACCATCCTAATATATACTGGGTTGAGTGGAAAAGCCCACTGTATTTGAAGTATTCAGGGCTGATTTACCTTTTGTGTTAAAGTGGAGTAGAATGTGCAGCGGAGATACGGAGATTAAATAATACGCAATACCATCCAGCTTACGGCTAAGGTCACCTTGAACCCCGTCAACATTTGGGAAAACTTGGTTAGACCATTTTACCTTAGGAACGATGTGCAAGTTAAGCGGATTGGTGGTCATCAAGAGAGGTCGGTGTCACATATAAGGCTTAAGTAAGGCAATTTCTAAGAGTGTTCTACTAACCACATCTCCACATGCATGCTAAATCGATCTGTTAGTTGTGTGCTTCTTACATCCGGTCTGCCTTCCTTGATGATGCAGTTGAAACAATTCACTGACATTAACTACTTAGAAGCACTGGCGGCATATTTGGATCTAAGCAATACTCGAAGACAATATAACACAGAAAAAGCGAACAAGCCCATTGGTAAACATTATAAACAGGCTTGTAACTGCATTTCTGAGAAGCAGCATTCTAATGACACTGGACTGTAGAAAATATCGTAATGATCTAAGCCGTTAGAACAGCTTGCACAGTTGATGTCTTATTGTCTTTTACTGTCTTGCATTCAAGAAACAGTGCCGTTATTATTTAATAACAATCTTCAGCAGAGCAACCTGATAACACTCCTGGAGACGTCGACAGCGTCAGCACAAGCGGCGGTTACTCATGACTAGCGGAAGTTACTGCCGCACGGAAGGTGTGAAACAACTACAGAGAAATAGAGAAGGCGATTCAACCTACTCTGGTTCTCATTTTTATCACTCACTGCCAAGTCATAGGTTTACCTTTCCATAGCCAGTTAGCCGGCCAATCCAGCTTCGTGAGCAGATCCAAGATGGAAAGTAGTGAGGAGTGTTCCTGCATGACATTACCTGTCACAGGATCTCTCAGTCATTGTAGTGGCGAGAAGCACTGTTATAGTTGCGCATATAAGCGACGTTACCCAAATCCTTAGGAGCTCACCGCATACACACCGCAAGACAACTACATCATGACTGGGCACACTAACAGCAAAATTTAAATTACTTTGGAGATGAGGTGCACTCCACCTTTGTGCACATAACCTGTAGGCAGACGGGTCCACGTGCTTAGATGCTCGATGTTAGTGGAGACAATTTGTTGTAAATGCAATCAACTCTACTAGTAATTATGCGCACTTCATGAGTGCACGACTCAGCCGGGCTGTTTGTTACCGGTTCTAAAAAGCAGAACCTTTCGCGCTTTTTCCGTCAAATCGTTCAATAAAACGCTTGGGAAGAATCAGAGATCAGTACTTGGAATTATATCATTGAATTGAGCACATTTCCTTGAATTTTAAGGAGAGAGGGAGCAAGTGGGACTAGTCCCATGCACGTCAACTTTGTAAATGTGTATGGTCTCAGGGCTCAAACTACAGCTCTCATGATTCATAAGTAATACAGTGTGAATGCATTTCCTCTTAGAGTGGCTTCATAGCTGTCGCACATTTAACACGCAAACGTCCGTCTTACCTCCATGGTCTTACAATGCGATCTGGCTAAGCGTTGTGCGGCGCAGTTTAGCCCTGTCCGTGCATAGTTTCTCTGACTGTCGGCCATGGTAGCATTAAGCAAATCTGGAAGCGTTTCACCAAGCCTCTCTAGATGTTACGGGAACGCCAAGTGATCACACAAAAATATGCAACTGCGCCTCGGACTTCAATACGCGGACTACGCCACGCGGCGTCCATTTACGACCCACAACGCAGCAGCCTTCAAGCCAGTGCGCAGACGTGACCAAGTGAACAATGGTTTTCTGAAAACCACTTTCTCGGAGTGGTGAATCATTATACCCACAAAACGAACAGCTGTGCCAACCTTGTTCTGTCTTTGTGGGTCGTACAAGAGTTCCCAAGGGTCCGCCTCGCCTTCTGTCTTTTCTGTTGTGCAACTGATAGGGACTGGTGCGGGTCTGGTAAGCGTGCATCAATCTAGTCGGCCGGCTTCGCGCCATTAGTTTCGAGGGGGAGTGCACATCAATACGTCTGGTTTCAAGGGGACATTGCGCTAGCCGTGCAACAAGCGTCGCGTGCAACTTTGAGGGTAAGCCATCTCGTCCAAGGGAAGTGTACAGCTTATTACATTAGGTTTAATTTAAGATTATTATTCCTGGAAGTTAGTGAGTTTTACCTCCCTTCAGTGTCCGCGGTGCGACGACGATAAGGCTGCTGACAGGAGAGTTGAGGATAATCCCCGAAAATATCCAGTGGTGGCGCTACAGTTGATCATCCAACCGGCTTTCAGTGTACACCTCCTAAGAATAGTGTTTTTGTGTAGCAGCGTAGAACAACACCGCGTAACTGGTAAAGCAGGTAAATCGTTCACACTGACTCATGGCGTAGTCCGTAGTTGCATAAGGATCATCCTGTGTTTTGAGTATCATCAGCGCATGTGAACACCAGGCGCTTACTCGAATGAATTGTTTTGGTCTGGACACCTGCCACATAGGTCGACTCACCGTATAATACGAGGGTTTCTGTTTCGCCTGCCGAAACGATGAACACTTTTAAACTGGTAGCCGGAACTGAACAATCTGACCACTAGACCGGGTGACCTTGGTCAGCCTAGACATCCAGGCTACGATCCGTACCGCGGTACGTCTCTCCAGCCCATGTGTACACTGTTCTCTGTGGAACAATATTTATCATGATACGAAACAGCGAAGGACCGTCGGTTGCTTTGTCGGTAGTGCCAATTCGACTTCGCAACCTAGCGAACCTGTTCGTGATTGTATGCAGTTGACAGGGTATAGGTGCCATGAATTGGAATACACGCTTGACATAATTAGACACCTTAACCTTACCTGATGTATTTAGGTGTAGTGTGCTTAGTCACGTTTATACGGAGGCGAAGGTTTAGTTAGAGGGCCTGACTAGTTCCTATTGACAGTATTAACGAAGTACTCTTAGTACCGAGAAAGCGACTGCTTCCTACTTAAATACCAATGGGTTCCGGCAAATATTTTTGTTTATTTCCTACCTGGATAACCTATGCTTTGCTAGCTGCCATTCTTGCATGGCTATTGTTTCTTTCCAGTCATTACTAAATCGGATATTATTATCCATCCAGTTATGATAAACTGATGGCAGTGATAATATAAGGGTTCGCCGCACTAACTTGGCATTCAGTCGGCAAGCTGCATAACCGACTGCTAATGGGTATAGGACCCGACACAAGCCACCAAATGAGCGTTGGTAAGTTAACTGGCACCCAACTCAGCCGGTTGGTAGTTTGTTGTTAGAGGGCACTGCTCTGAGAGCTGACCGTCTGATTGTATTACTTGTGAAATCCACTGATTAACCCTTTTGCAATCATCGTCGGGAAGACAAACCGTAGAGCTTTTGAGATATCTGAGATGCGATTTTACAGCCACGGAATTCACCCCTTGTTTTAAACCAAATTTAACTTGTAAACGACACAACGAATGTTGGCACATTATATGTCGCAGGGCATCGCTGTAGTGATTTTTAGTTCTAATTTCTGTTTACCAAACGCCAAAAGGGACTTGAACAGGTGTGGTTCGGCTCCTCACCCTGGGTGTTTCTGCGTCCCTTACGGTGGACCACGATGGTGAGCCGCCCAGATGACCAGCGAGTGCACCATCCTCTTTCCGAGACAGAATACGCTTCACTTGGCTGTCCACTGACCAATCGCTCAAAATGGTGGTCTGTTGATCCTCCTCGTCCGAGATGAGAGCTTGCGATGTAGTTGGACTCACCAAGCCTCGCCGAGGAGCTGTGGGAGAGAGAGGGCCTTTCATTGAGTCAACAACCATACACCTTGCAATGCAGAAGAAGTGGACAAGGAAATTAATTACCAACCGAAGGCGATGTCGCCGGTGGTTGAGTTAACTGCGCATTATCAAACCAGGAACTCAACTGATCTGAAGGTGCTATCAAGTACTAAGTGCACTTGAAAGTTCGGCGAGGTCACTGTAGGGACGAAGGTTTCGATTTGTCAAATGAAACACGCTTCATTTGTTCCAAGTGTTACGTAAGGCGTTACAAGTGTATCACTCCAGCAACACAACGGAGGTGGATGTGGGTACAAACGGTTGCAATGTCAAGTTTGGTGTTATCTGCCATAAATATATGCAGCAGAGCATCAGTACGAACCTGATCAGTCGACATGGTTGATCATCTCACAGGCTACTACTGTTAACCATATTTGGAAGAAATGATCCATCAGCATTTGAAGTTCCGTTAATGTACCTACAAAATACTGGCCGGATCAACCTGCATGATCCAAAGATTGAGACGTAAAGTTTCACGGACACTTTTGCGTTAATGCACTTGTTATCTTGGCTAACAGCTAACAGCGCAAAGTGTGTGTATGTGAGGAAAGGGAGCATCCTCTTCACGTAGCAATAATTAACCACAAGACCTAATGAATTCGTAAGAAATGCATATCAGGCACAACTATCCGGAGGATAGCTGTTGAAACCAAGTGATAACAAAGGGCAACTTGAGCTTTCATTTCAATCTCCAATGTTTGGCTCGTTTATGTTGTCATCGATTGTGTGCAAATTACCCAAGCACCGTACAGAGAGGTTTGGAAACAATCGGTTGGTATAATAGTTTGGTAACGTTTCACCCTCGACACGAGAGCTTCGTCAGACCAGGTGAATCAGTGTGCAACTGGTGTGGGATTTTATAGCGAACAGTGGGCGATAACCGCGTTACCCAAGACTTGAGTCATTACAGTAACAGTTGGTGATGTCACCTCAGGTGGTACGATCACAGTGGGAATAGTCCAGGGATTCCTTTGTGCGCCATGATAATGACGGATAAGCCCATAGTGTTGACAATGGGAGTCGGTTTGCACTTTCCAATCTGATCCACGCACCGATGCTCGTCAAGCTGGCTGGCTTAAGACCGCCCGCCACGCATTAGGGAGTTCTACCCCCTCCATTCTATTCACGCAGTCGTCAGATTTGGCAATTTCCACCGCCTCGGCAATCAACCGCTGAGTGGTTAATCGTATACCCCTCCTAATGACCTCTACGTTTTCGAAGTCTATCTGGTGACCCGTGTCTAATGCGTGCAAAGCTACGGCCGAGTCACTTACTATTGCCTGGTATTCAAACTCGTTTCTTGATAGTCTTGAAATGTGCCTCCTATGCTCCGAAATTCGTGTGCGTAATTCTCTCGCTGTTTGGCCTATGTACACATGTGCACAGTCCTTACATTTAATTTGATAGACACAGTTACTCGTCCTATCCTTGGGAAAGGAGTCCTTCAGGTGTACCAGCGCCAAACGTAACGTCCGACGTCGGTGAAAGATCACCCTTATATTTTCCTTGTTTAGTACCCTCCGAACTGCCTCCGAAGTGCCTTCCTTGTACGGAATCCCGACCGTCCCTATCCACTCAGCTGGAGGTCTTGACAGCCGGTGTAGCACTTTATGCAATTGCCGTTTGATAAGCCGCCGAGGGTAACCACTTTCTAATAGTTTGCTCATTGCCACTTTCCGCGCAGCCTTTCTGTCTTCCTCCATCGTGCACAAGGTTTGTGCCCTGTAGAACAGCGCTGACGCTATCCCAGCGTAAACCTGTTTCGGATGACCCGAAGTGTAGTGGAGTACGCCGTCAGTATCCGTTGGCCTACGATATATTGTCGTCTTTAAATTTCCTCCATTCCTGTGAACCAAACAGTCAAGAAATGGTATTGTGCCGCTACAAGATTCCAACTCAATAATAGACTGTATTTTCTCATCAATGGAGTTTAAGTGATTAATCAACTCGTCCTTCTTATCCCGTTGAACAAATACAAAGGTATCGTCTATATAACGCCACCAAACTTTTGGTGAGTTAATGGTGCTTGTTAACGCCTGGTTCTCGAAGTCTTCCATATACAGGTTCGCCAGTACAGGAGATATTGGCGATCCCATGGCGAGACCTTGTTCCTGACTGTAAAGCTTCGACTGAAAAACGAAGTAAGACATGTTAAGACACACTGTCATGCCCTCGATTATCTGGTTAACTGTTATTTTCGTCCGGTCATTCAGAGTGACGTCTTCATTTAGACGACGTCTCGCTATTCCTAGCGCCTCTTCTTTGGGTATATTTGTGAAAAGTGATGTGACATCGAAGCTGACCATCAACTCATCTGACTCAATTCTGAGACTTGCTATCTTTTGAGCGAAATCATAAGAGTTTTCACGAATGTGCTCGTCCCCCTTGTTAGAAGCTGCAATAGCCTTACCAAGCATCTCGCAAGATCATGGGTCGGGGAGCCTATACCGTCGACTATGGGCCGTAGGGGAACTTCGGGTTGGTGAACTTTTGGCAAGCCATAAACCCTCGGAGGTAAAGTCGATTTGGGTATAGACTGTACTACTTGCCTGCTCCTAACTCATCTTTCACGGTTCTTAAATAGTTACCAACCTCCGTTTTACTCTTGTTCATTACTGACGCCACGAGCTTATCAACAACTACTCTATATGGACCCTTCTCCAAATGTTGTCCCATTTTTTCCAAGTATTCTGACTTATTCTTTACAACCAGGGTTTTTCCCTTGTCAGCCTTCATACGTACAATGCTGCGGTCTTCTTTCAAGGAATTTCATGCGTTACGTTCAGTTTGCGGAAGATCTGGCTCACCCAGTTGCTGAAACTTACATATTTACTAGCTGTGCCCGAATATTCTCTGCCTTCGTAGCGGGCAACTTTGCCACCACGCCCTAAATGCTTGGGTTAATCTCTTCTGCATATATCCTAGATTTATTGCTGGTAAATGTCAAACCTTTCTCCAACAATCTACACTCCGTTTCATTCAACACCCTATCTGACATATTAACAACATTACTATAGGTACTAATAGACCCGGAACTGTCAGTAGGACCGGTAGTAATAGGCTGCACAGACATTGTCTGTGCTGTTTACAGCTTACTATTGAGTACAGTTTACTGCTGAATACAGATTACTATTGAGTTGGAATCTTGTAGCGGCACAATACCATTTCTTGACTGTTTGGTTCACAGGAATGGAGGAAATTTAAAGACGACAATATATCGTAGGCCAACGGATACTGACGGCGTACTCCACTACACTTCGGGTCATCCGAAACAGGTTTACGCTGGGATAGCGTCAGCGCTGTTCTACAGGGCACAAACCTTGTGCACGATGGAGGAAGACAGAAAGGCTGCGCGGAAAGTGGCAATGAGCAAACTATTAGAAAGTGGTTACCCTCGGCGGCTTATCAAACGGCAATTGCATAAAGTGCTACACCGGCTGTCAAGACCTCCAGCTGAGTGGATAGGGACGGTCGGGATTCCGTACAAGGAAGGCACTTCGGAGGCAGTTCGGAGGGTACTAAACAAGGAAAATATAAGGGTGATCTTTCACCGACGTCGGACGTTACGTTTGGCGCTGGTACACCTGAAGGACTCCCTTCCCAAGGATAGGACGAGTAACTGTGTCTATCAAATTAAATGTAAGGACTGTGCACATGTGTACATAGGCCAAACAGCGAGAGAATTACGCGCACGAATTTCGGAGCATAGGAGGCACATTTCAAGACTATCAAGAAACGAGTTTGAATACCAGGCAATAGTAAGTGACTCGGCCGTAGCTTTGCACGCATTAGACACGGGTCACCAGATAGACTTCGAAAACGTAGAGGTCATTAGGAGGGGTATACGATTAACCACTCAGCGGTTGATTGCCGAGGCGGTGGAAATTGCCAAATCTGACGACTGCGTGAATAGAATGGAGGGGGTAGAACTCCCTAATGCGTGGCGGGCGGTCTTAAGCCAGCCAGCTTGACGAGCATCGGTGCGTGGATCAGATTGGAAAGTGCAAACCGACTCCCATTGTCAACACTATGGGCTTATCCGTCATTATCATGGCGCACAAAGGAATCCCTGGACTATTCCCACTGTGATCGTACCACCTGAGGTGACATCACCAACTGTTACTGTAATGACTCAAGTCTTGGGTAACGCGGTTATCGCCCACTGTTCGCTATAAAATCCCACACCAGTTGCACACTGATTCACCTGGTCTGACGAAGCTCTCGTGTCGAGGGTGAAACGTTACCAAACTATTATACCAACCGATTGTTTCTAAACCTCTCTGATCTCATGACTACTCGATCGGTTCCAATTATCTTCCAAGAATATGTACCCAAGCACCGTTTTTCGGTCACTGCCATGACAATCCACACCAAGTTCAACAACACTACCTCTAATGCTGACCAATGCCAGCCAATGTGCGAACCGATTTGCATTTGTCTAAGGGGTTTGGTTTGTTATTCTGAACCAATATGGACAAGGAGGATGCCTGTTTTCTCAAATTTGTGTCTTATGAAACAGCTCTGTACTTTCTCGTCTGGTTTGTTGTTGAATCTAATTGCACTGCTATGTGCATCGTTTCAACATACCAAAATCCACAGCTTCCAACGGAGAGATAGATGTGCTTTCGATTTCCCATGCGATTACGCAGAAGAATGTTGTTCCATCTAACATGTTGTTGTGCAATCACAGGTTTCATAAGTGCTCCTTCCTTCGAAAGAGCCTCATTGATAGAATACATACGATCTGCGAAGACAATGTTATCATTTCCTAAGATATTTCGCTTGTTACTCCAACATGTTTCTGATGGCACACTGTCTGTAGTCTGATTGTGACTATATGCATGTATATGGTTAGCGGCAACCTGTTACCGGATATACCTGTCAATGCGGCTTCCATAGAACAGCCACAGGACGCTGGCAGCTACAAAAGAACCATGGGTGGCTTGTGCTGCATTACGCAAAGCTCCAACCACACACCACGCATGCAATGTAAACCCGAAGGAATAAGACCGGGAAGCATGTGGAACGAAGCCAACTTTCACTAACGGAGCCAGCCCACACTCCTTCAGCATGCCCAGTAATAGCAGCAGCAGCAACAGCAGCTGCAGCAGCAGCCTACTTGTCCACCTAATTTGGGAACCACGACCACCAGTCGTACACAAGGCGGTGGCAGGGCTGTAGCCAGCTGTACACTGGACTCATGGAACCAATATTTGAGTCTAGAGTGGGCAAGAAGACCGTGAATTCCGTCCAACCCGAGCAAACATGAGCAGTCTCCTGCAGCCAGTAATCGAGGTGGACGGTGTTATACAGCTAGACACGTTGTCAATCTTCGCATCAAGCACAGCCACACCAGGGATATCAAACAAACAACACAGATTTTAAAGGAAATTAAACACGCAAAATTGACACGGAATATGCGGCAAAATAACAAAATTGAGTAAACCAGATAACGTGGAATAGTATTTTGCAGATTAAGAAGATCCTGTTTAAGTGTAAGTCGGTTTAGCTCAACTGCGGTGAAGAAGCACGATGTATACAAACTCAATCTTAGGATAATGCCATATATATATATATTTATTTATTTATAAAGCCGCCCCAGTGGGTCTACACAACCCTAAAAATTCGCTACTCCGCTAGCTCGGATACAGACCAAGAAAATTATTAGAAGCGAATCACGAGCTCCATAAACATTGGAGTGTGGACGCACAAACAAGTGCTGTTGAACGAGATTGACGGCTACATAGCTACTCGTGGAATCGCTTTTCGTGTAAGATGAAAATATTCATAACTAGGCGCATGCAGAAGCAAAAGTATTAAATGCTTTAACGCAGTGTAGATTAAAAAAGGGCATGTACATCCAACTTCCTTAAAAGAGCAAAATTTGCGTTCACTCTCCAACAACATCCGGAACAATCGTTTATACTCCAGTCTGCTTGGGCTCGACAGCGATCGAACATAGAGGACAAGACCACAGACATTACCGCATAGAGGCAAGCAATTACACACGCCTACTCCCAACCCTAATGCAACCGAAAAGAATCTGTGCTACCCGAGTTCTTCCTCAACACAATAAAGGCAAAACGCATGTTGCCTAATCCAGGGTGTTGGGTTCGAGGGTCGACATTAAAAAAACATATAAACGTGGAAGTTGATAGGGTTGAATTTAGTGAAAGCATTACGGCGCCTACGCAAACACTAATCATCGATGTATTCGGGCATTTTCTTTAGGCTCTGTTCGTGGCGGGGGGATTTAGATGCTTTCCTTTACCAGGCCTGATTCATACCTCGTTACTTCGCTTTTGATATAGCTTTTAGCACCAAATAAGCTAAGAGCGACCGCTCTGTACCTAATTTCCTTATAATCCGGTTGATTAAGACTAAGTAGGATAACTCGTTCATTCACAGCGAGTCGTTACATGGGGTTGGAGCAGCTTTAAATTCATGAACTTCGCGTGGCTTCAAGGTATAACGATTGGTGGTGGGTCAGTCAGTATCTTTACATGTGTAATGGAACAATGCTCAAGGTAATTTATTCCACTAGTTTTACTCATAGGAAGACGGTTGTGTTTAATAAGTAAAAAATGCATTCTCCGTTTGGCTTACTAGCTCCACGTCCACCGCGGTGACGAGGATCCTTTCCCCGGCCCCGACGAGGTGTCGAAATGACACCCTTAGTGGCAGGCTTGGCATCAGTTATCGAGATTTGTGGACGGGAGATTTGTTGCAATATTTTCACTCGGGGAGGTTTTCGCGTCCCACGATTGGCCAAGGTAGGTGCACCACGTTGCGACGGTCCACCGGTAGAAGCAATCTAATGTCAGAAAAACACTTTCTGGAAATCTTTCAACGCAGTGCCTGGTACACGTTAGATGTGATAGGAGGGAAATTCATAAATAAATAAACTTTTTATTTCGCGACGGTGCGAGAGAATGGTCCGGCATAGGGACAAGCCAGTAAGTGACTTCCGGCCTAATGTATTTCACAGGATTCAAGCAGTATAAAAGTGTAGAGTGATAAAACTTGTGTACTCACTTTTTAACAGCTGTTTGCAATCTCATCAGTGAATGGGATGAGGGGAATCACTTAGTATGGTCTTGGTACGCGGCACCCAAATCAATCATGGCCTGCATGACCGACTAAATCAAGTCCTAGGCCTGAGATACTCGCGCAATTTTAACTTTTAGTTGCAGTGTAGTTTACAAATATCACAGGCAGAAAAGGACAGTTGGATGCATGTCGTTCCTTCTCATTCGCTCACTCCCGCCTTATCTTTGCACTATAGCCAGCTGTTTGTGACGGTATGTTGTCTACGCAAGGTGTAGGCGCCTTGACCATGCATGTTTGCTTAGGGCATTAAGGTTTTCAGGTAAGTCCCCCTTCTCGCCCTCTTCTTATTCTTTATTTCGTAGGTCTTCATGATTGTATGGCAGCGAAGCATCAGTTCAAATGGCTGATGTACTGCTGTTGATGATGATGACTCCCGACTTCGTATGGCCCATTTTTATTGCCCAATAGTGTGCACATGCATTCGAATGTCTGGCTAGATGGTTACTGAGTGATAGTAACATGGTTTGCCAAACGAATTTTTAGATGCGCTACAAAACTGACTTTGGGTGTGCGTTCTAGTATTCTGGGACTACCACTCATATGGTTGCGAAGAATGAGATCAGACCATGTTTTCTGATCAGCATTACAAATGACTGCTCACATTGCAGGAGTAAGTGTGTGCAAGACGCAGAATCGCACGTCTCTCATACGCGATGCGAGTTTCAAGACCACAATGCAAAGGACGAAAACAAGAATGAGGAAAAGTTCTTTACCACTGCTTACTCAACACTTTTGCACGGATTGACTGTCAAGAAATACCTCACCCTCTCAAATACATCTATGTCACATATAGCATTGTCTTGAGGAATTACATTCGAAAACGGCATGGATAATGCATAGAAGTGAACCGAATATTTTTCGCATCTTCGTTACCTCCTGTGAAAGCAAGTTCCTTTAACATGGAGATGGTGGAATAAGTATAAATTCAAGTTTTGTAGGCTTATTGAGACTGAATTCCGCAGTACGTCACGGTGATAAGCGTGATAAATGCTCCCGTCATCAGAGTATTGCATCTCTTCTTATGTCGGCTGCGTGCTTGACTTATTCCCTCCCGCATAACACGGGAGAGTGGTCAAATGTTGTTAAGCAGGTCAGACTACTCAAATACTTTGTTGCGCATACATCCTCTCCGCTAGAGCAATACAATGATCGAATTGATGCGCAAATCACTCAAGTTCGCCCCGATTTGGTGGCTCATTGGACGACGGATAAGCGAATGCCATTGAAAGTGAAGCCACCACTAACTGTATTGAAAACTTGGAAACTTCCTGTTTAAAATTCCGTAGACCTTAATCACACCAACCGAAATGATCCCATCTTTCAGAGTCGCGAAACGTGTTATTGGTTAAATTATTTCATTTCTATTTCCATTCGCCCATTTCACACAATTTATTTCAATTTTGTTTTCTCTTTGTTGCTCACGACTGGGCCTATCTCCTAAGGTAATGGTTTGAAGCTTCCAAGGAGAATGTTTACCCACGTAAGGCGGATAGCTAAAGAACCATTATGGAAAATAAAGCTGCATGAGGAACTTGAAAAAGCAGTACAGTCTGAAATGGTGAACCCACACTAAGTGGCATATGCCGCCAGTGCCGCTGAATACGGTCGTCGTGCTCACACAGAAAACATTGAATGACGGATGAACTGACTGGCTTGAGTGGCCAGCTTACGAAAAAATGCCTGAATGATACTTAAGATCGGTGATGGCTAGGCCGCTTCTAAGCCAGGCCGAAACATGGCCAGATGGGGTGTGGAGTTACTACCCAGTTACTACCCACATAGAAGCGCGTGCCAAAGAAATCGTCCCAAGGACGACCGTATTACTTCACTTGATCTTTCTTGCAATACAGCCTTCTTCATCTTGAAGCTGTTGTGGTTTAAGTTCCTGGTTATCCCATTTCAAATTTCCCACTTTCTTATCCATATCACCCGTTATTCAACTACTTGGACTACTTTTTGATGTTATCGCAGTGCCTTTCCTTTCTATCTGCATCTGTACACTTTCTTAATCAATATGTGTTCGGTATTTTGTACATGGCCCTAACTTGCTGATCATGGCTTGATGGGTATGTCTGGCACTGTATAGAATAAATGTTTATTCATATATTTCGCCCACATCAGCATTAGATTTTCCGGTGCACTAACATGCAAGCCATAAATCTGCACCTGCTAATGAAGGTTGAAAGGAAAACCACTGAGACTGTAGGAGCATCACGCATTTTGACCAACACAAGTCATCAGTAGGATACCATCTGATCAGCTGACATTTCCACAAGCCATAACGACCAATATTCAAGACCACCACCCAACACATCATCGATTACAGAACTTTGAAGCTGACTAGCTAAAGAAGCTTTACCATCATCCCGCTTCTTTTCATGTTATTCCCTAATTATTTGTGGGAGCATTAAAATACAACAATGGGAATACATGCATTTACTTTTTTATGGCATCCAAAGTCAACGGGACATCAACTCGGAAGTCCACACCTAACCAGCGCTCCTACAAATTGGCGAACCCGACGTGAACTCGGTGTTTTGGACGCAGCCTAATTCATTCGGTGAGTCGTGACTAGTTTCGTCGTTTTTCTTACTTTCATGTATGTGAATATGACCGACCATCAAATAGGAGGAATTAACACCGTAGCTACTGGTTGTTTACCAACATTTTGGATACCATATCCCCAGCTTTGATTTCTACAGGCCGAGCCATATTTTGTGAGCAATCGTATACATAAGGATGGCTTAAAAGTTCATGTGATTTCCCGACTCCCACCAGAATTATTGCTCCTGGTGCAAGAGATGTTGAAAAGAAGCCCTACGTATCAACAACCGAAGGGCTTGTTAGTGCGCGAGCTTAGCCTTAGCGAGCTTAAGAGAGTGTAACGTCTACTTAATGACGAACCGTTAGGCGATCGCACCTCTACGCAACTATTGCGAGCCATGCAAGCTCTGGTAGGTGAAAATCCTCCAGAGAATTCCATATTTAAGAAGCTACTTTTGCAACGGCTCCCTACCCATGTACAACAAATATTGACTAACGCTCATCAGCATACCGAGCTGAAAGATTTAACCTTATGGCTGATAAAATCACAGAGATACAAGCGCCAACGATCTCAACTTTCTCGCCTCCTGTATCTAACGACTCACTCGTGAAAGCCGTACGCCCCTTGCAAGAACAACTGGCCTCAATCGTCATTGACAAACGAAGGAGCAACTCCCGATCAAACCAACGACGTACTCGGAGTGTTAGTCGTTCCCGTGGCATATGCTGGTACCACTGGAGATTCCGTAACAGGGCTCGGAAATGCAAAAAACCGTGTCGCTTTTTCAATATATGAAACGAACCTACCAGCTCGTAATGGCGACGACGCAAGCTGGCATATGCGAGCCAGGTCGCCTATTTTACTTGCGGGACGTAAGATCTGGCATGCGATTCCTCGTAGACACTGGTGCCCAAGTTAGTGTGGTTCCCCCACGTCCGGAGGACCTGAAGCACTGCTCGGTATACAGCCTGCAGGCAGTAAACGGCACGCCCATCCGAACCTATGGAGAACGTTCTATCACACTGAACCTTGGTCTCCGCAGGACTTTTCCTTGGATTTTCATTGTAGCCAAAGTGCCTACTGCAATCCTAGGCCTCGATTTTTTCCAGCATCATGGCATTATCGTAGATCCCAAACGCCACCAGCTTATTGATGGCCTGAAGCAACTATCACAGGCTGGTTTCAAAAGCCACATTATGTCCATGCGACCGCAGCTTGTCCCACCTCAAGCCACTCCAATGTATTTGGATCTGTTACGAGAATTTAACAGCATAACAAAGCCTGGATACCAACCTGGTGATGTTAAACATGAGATCGTTCATAGGATAACGACAACAGGCAGTGTGGTTTTCCATAGACCACGGCGATTACCAACTGATAAACTTGCCGCAGCGAAGGTTGAATGCGACCATATGTGACAGTTGGGCATAATACCTCCATACAGCAGTATGTGGGCATCGCCCCTACTTATGGTCGAGAAGAACAAATCTGGAGATTGGAGATCTTGTGAGGATTATCCGGGACTGAACGCCATCACTGGTCCCAGACAGGTATCCCATTCCGCATCTCCAGTATTTCTCATTCTCGCTGTACAGAAAGCGAGTGTTCAGCAAGATGGATCTATTGCGGGCATATCATCAAATTCCCCTGCATCCTCAAGATGTACCTAAGACTGACGTCACCACTCCGTTTGGCTTTGTGAGTTCTTGCGAATGCCATTTGGTTTCCGTAATGCAGCTCAGACATTTCAACGTTTTATAGATCAGGTCATTCGCGGGCTCGATTTCGTTTTCGTCTACATTGACGATGTCTTGGTTGCAAGTCCTAAGCATGACGAACATTTGCGCCATTTGTGACAACTTTTCGAACGATTTGCGCATTATGGGGTAGTTATCCATGCTTCCAAGAGTCAATTTGGTGTTGATACACTAGACTTTCTTAATCACCGTGCTTCTTCCGCCGGAATTACATCCCTACCCGATAGAGTGACAACCATCACTGAGTACCCAATCCCTGATTCCCTCTAAAACTACGCCGGTTTGGGGACATGGTTAACTTTTACGAACGATTCATTCCGCACTGTCTCAAGTTAGCACAGCCACTTAGCGAACTACTCAAATCGGATACTTTTATTCAGCTTTACGGAATCAGCTAAGCAGGCATTCAATGATCTAAAACATCAGCTAGCAACTGCAAATCTCGTGCATCTAGACTCTAAGGCGCCGTTACTGTTAACGGTGGACGTCTCAGATGCAGCAGTAGGCGGTGTGCTACAACAACGACAGAGTGGTGAATTGTATCCGATTCCCTTTTTCTCTAAGAAACTACAGCCTGCCAAACGACGCTATAGCACGTTCAGCAGAGAACTCCTAGCTATTTATCTCAGTGTGCGTCATTTCCGATATTATTTGGAAGGACGTATATTCACGGTATTCACCGATCATAAGCCGTTAATGTATGCATTGCTTTCCTTTCTGATCGACTTTCCCCACGAGAAAGTAGACAATTAGATTAAATCTCCCAATTTACCTCAGATATTCTGCATTTGTCCAGTGCGAACAACGCGGTAGCAGATGCCTTCTCACGGGCGGAAATCAACACCTTATTCGAGTATTCCCCTGTTGATCTCCAAGAACTAGCCACAGCACAACATAAGGATAAGCAGTTTCCTCATCAACTGCAAGAAACCAATTTACATTCAAAACCCATCCCGCTACATGAAAGTTCGGATGTTCTGATGTGTGACGCATCGACAGCAAAGCCAAGATCTGTAGTTCCACCGACCTATCGGTGAATCATCTTTGATTCACTACATGGTCAGTCACAACGCGCACTCATTTCTGATCTTTTGTGTGGCCGGCACTGAACAAAGACGTACAAACTACGGTGAGAAACTGCCTCCCATGTCAACGTTCAAAAGTGTACCGCCATACACAGGCACCATGTGGCACTTTCTCCGTTCCTAATGCTCGTTTCAGTCATGTGCACATAGACATCGTCCGTCAGCTTCAGCTGTCGAGTGGATATAATACTTACTTACTTGTATCGATCGTTTCACTCGTGGGACCGTGGCAGTGCCTATCGCGGACATTCCGGCAGAGACAGTAGCACGCAAATTTGTGGCTCACTGGATCGCACATCATGGTGTTCCATCCACCATAACAACAGAGCGGGGTGCGCAATTCGAATCGACGCGTTTTCGATAGTTAACCAACATTCTTCGAAGCAAGCGAATAAGAACAACTGCGTACCATCCAACAGCGAACGGGTTAGTCGAACGTTTTCCCCGTCACCTCAAAACATCTTTGATGACATGTTCTGATACTACCCGTTGGACCGAAACCTTACCGCTGGTTTTATTAGGTCTTCGAACGACGCCTAAGGCTGATTTAGGCTGCTCTGCCGCGGAGCTGGTATACGGTATCATGTTAAAGCTTCCGGCTGATTTCGTTCAACCAATCGACGTCGGTGCTCTAAATCCCTCACACTTGGTTCATCGTCTACGTTCATTTATGCGTGAACTGCATTTTACTGCCACACGCGCACAAACTAACAAGTGTGACATAACAAAAGATATGGCAACTTGTTCACACGTGTGGCTACGAAATGATGCAGTCTGTAGGCCTTTACAGCCACACTGTGAAGGACCACTAGAAGTGATCGCTAGAACAAAAATCACCATATGCTCAACAGGAATGTTAAAGTCGATGTAGTTTCGGTAGACCGACTCAAGCTAGCGTACATCGAATGACCTTGCGAAAAGCAATCAACAGGTCCTTAAACCACACTACGTACGCAGCACTCATCAAAGCTCGTTGAAAGCGAACCTATGCCGCCAACATCTGAGGTTAAGCCAAAACAGACTAATACGCGGCAAACACGGTCAGGTAGAAAAATTCATTTTCCAGACCGTTTAGTGCATTATGCATCTTGACAATACCATCTTGTTGTGCTGATCACTTGTCTGCACTGCCTGCCGTCAGTTTCTTTTCGCTTATTGTTCTCCAATTTCTACAAGCACGCAACAGAATATCACTAGTAAAAGCAGCAGGGAGAACAAGATTGTGCCACTTAAGAACAATGGAATTACCATCACCATCCATTACCATCCTCATTTTGCTCTCAAACTTTTCTCTGTACATTAGACACAGAAGCTTAGTCTGCATACCTCCCATGCCTCAGCCTCGGACATTTCTTGCTGCACTGTACCAAATAGAGGTCAGTTTTTACCGGCCATTCCCACCGGGTCTTTTACTCCTGGTGGCTTGAACGTCGTGCGGCTAGTGCACTGGTGGGGAGGTCAGCAGCACCATCAGGCATTTTGACCTACCCAAGTTACCAGTGGGATATCATCTGATCAGCTGACATTTCCACCAGCCATATCGACCAATATTCAAAACTTCCACTCAACACATCATCAATTATATAACTTTGAAGCTGACTAGCTAAAGTAGATTTACCACCATCCTGCTTCTTTTCATGTTCTTCCCTGATTATTTGTGGGAGAATTAAAATATAACAATGGGAATACATGCTTTTACCTCTTTATGGCATCCAAAGGCGACGGGACATTAACTCCGAAATCCGCATCTAACCCGCGCTCGTACAAGACAAACTAGCCTCTTAACCATTCCATAGCACACAACACATCTTGACTGATCAAGTCAATCCGATATCCACATCCAGAAATACCTAGGCACCCTATTTTACCGTTATCTCCATCTCTGTACATACTAACCTACATTACTAGGTTAACGTAGCTGAAATTTGAAGATTCATATGCAGTTATATTGATGTAGTAACCCTAGCTTGCTCTCTCCTTTCGTATCGAAGTAAAACTGCACCAAGTATAGACTTTCCGATACTCACAGATAATTTGAATTGTATTACTCTAGTCCACTATACAGGAGTGTTCGTTACGCGTATGATTTTGCTTGACAGTTCCAATTGCTTTACCCCGTTTCATGTTCCTTCCCCATCCATGAACCCGCCGTCTTCATGGCACCTCCGATCTGCACAGCTACTAAGCGAATGAGAATGCGCATGAGCGTGAAGATCTTCACAAGACACCTACAAAATCCTCAGGCGTTGACAGCCTTGCAAGCATGAACCCGTTGTACATGTAAATACGATCCGTCCCTCTGAGGGCACGGATTTTAGGTAACACGAGATATATACATTATTGATTTGATCGATATCAGAAATCAGATTAGGGTGAAGAATTCTTTTCGATAAACTCTCATCGGACCCAAACGTTTACATAGCACTGATTTTGGGGAAAGCGTCAACTCGAGCTGGGATGGACTTCTGGACTGTTTGAAAGATCAAAATCGATAACTCGAGACAGGGATACAGATGATATGCCAAGTGAATGAAATAAATAAACAAACAGTCCAGCCAGAGTTGACGCTTTCCCCAAAATCAGTGTTATGTAAACGTTTGGGTCCGATGAGAATTTACCGAAAAGAATTCTTCACCCTGAACTGAACTCTGATGTTGATTCATATTAATGAAATGGGAATTTTATTTGAAGCCGCCGCATCAGTCAAAGTCCGTGTGCCAGTACACTACTTGAAACACAGGTCAGAAGTGGTTGCGTGTTTCCTCGCTATCCTGTATATATGGCTTCATGAAAACAAGCCAGAATGCAAGTGATATCAGAGAGTGCAAAGGATCCATAACAACTAAACGTACGGAGTTACCTTAAAAGCAAGTCACAAGTTGGCGTTGGAGACCGCTTTTATTCGCATAGCAAACTGTTTGTTTCCATTTCGTTTTTCCGTATGAATATGGTCCCATATTTTGACAAAACAAAAGCCAACTAAATGTAATACGGTACAGTCGTAACTGACAACTAATGAAAGCCCACCACCTACGGAACCATTTCATGAATAGGTGGAACACCTCCCCAGAACTTGTCTCAAGAACGCCAAACTGCATTAATTCCATAGTAAATAGATTTGTGATACCCATATGAAATTACCATATAGTACGATAATGATGCATGGTTGGCGACATCCGGTTCTTGATTTGCCTGTCACTGTGGCCTCCACAGGACAGCCACAGGACGCATGCGTCTACAGAGGGTGGCTTGCGCTGCACCACTGACAGCTCCATCCACACGTATGGTTGCATACTCTTGTTAGCATGGCAAAGAGCCGAGCACAGTGGCGTTTGTGTTGTGAGTTGCTCTGTCTCTACCTGATTGGACACACTTTAACCACAAATTCATTCTTGGTGAATTGAATTATATTACTTGTTTTTTGGCTTTTATTTGCATAGAGTACTAATTGGCATCTCGCCTTTTCATGTCTTCTGTTTATATTGCGGCTCAATAGCTAAGGTGTATTTTCCACCTTCAACTAGGGTGTGTGACTAGCTATCCCCATGAGGGAACAGCCTCTCGCATCGTCGATAAATAGAAAACTTAATTATTTGGTTAGTTAATCGGAAAGTTGAAGTAACAAGAGTCGGCTGTATTCAGCTTTAAAGTTTAAACCGAAATCACAAAGAACATATTAGAATATTGCTCTTAACGGAGCACGACAGACTGTTGACCCTGCCGTCGTTGCAAGTACACGGAAGTGAGACAGATCAATGGAATTCAGCCGACGTTGGACAAGCAACTGAATCGGAATTAGACTGGGCAAAGCTCAATGATTTCATTTGCCAACCCGAATAGTTGTTCCAAGTGACATTTATGCACATCTCAGAGATATGCATGCTACATTATCCTTCAGTTTACTGAAAGTTGACGATTGCGTTGGCGGTACACAAAGTCATGTACAGTGCAGATAGTGTAATCAACCCACAAACATTTTAAAATTAGGCTAAACTGACGCTTAGGTATAGTAAAGAGTATGATGAATTAAAAATAGGCTAACATTGCAATGCTAATAGTACAATATTTATGTGTCGGTGATTTTACAAGTTAAGAATATATGAAAAGCTCACTTTTTTGGATACCGTGGCCTTGTTCGAATTTCCAAATTGAGATTTTGCCATTGCAACTTCGGAGAAGACCTAGAAGAGGATAATGGTAATTTGAGTAAGGGCCCTTTCACAAATTCTACTGGCTGAGTACTTTTAGTAGTTCCAATATGTGAGGTACATGAGTAGCATTCTAACATTTGAAGAGGTGCAAGACCTGAACGAGCAATTTAGTATCTGTCGAAAGGATCAGATAATCGTTCAAATTGGTTTAAGGTGCAACTGCAATTGATTTTGCGTTCAACTAGTCTGGCATATCGCCAATGATCACTGGATAGTCATTGCCTCAGCCCTTAGCTATTCTGTCATAAATTAACGGCCATGCCTAAAAGTTAAATTCTTAATTGCACGATAGTATTCATTGATCAGTAATAGGAAAATAGGCTCATTTTGTCTTCGTATAGTGTTCTAGGCGCCGAAGGAAAACCCGGAAACATTTCGGCGACTGGAGCAGCTTAACTACGGAGCCTTTGGGCTTATATGCGACTTAAAACACTTGATAACTTCCTTAGCAACAAGTTAGATAGAGCATTCCAAAGAGCGGGAGTATATCAGTAGCTTAGTCTTGTATATGATGTGTCTCTCTATGACTGAAAACGCGGATACCTCGTGGTTCAAGTACTAGAAAAATAGTCGTCTCTGACCGTCGGTGCCCGTGGAGTACTGATGATACCTAGATTAGACACAGGGTGATCGACAATGAGTTCCTACACGTGATGCTTGAAACGAAACCTTCTGAGGACGCATTCCATGGCCTACTAAACACAACCTATTTGCGTTGGCTAGGCCACGATCTGCAGAACATCCGAGCGCCATTTGGGGTGCACATTAAGTGCTGTCGATCCACTTGGCAAAGAAAAGCCACGAAGTGAGGAGTCGATCACGTGGCGTAAAGGCATGAAGCAATTCAACCGTCCTGGACAGCGTTAGCGGATCGGGGCTTTAGTTGAAAGGGCACGTTGACGAAGTCTGTAGTGCTTCTACATTCCGATTATCACATCCAGCTGTTTACATTCCAATCAGTACTTGGCATTCGACCTGCTTCGACTCAATGTCATCCTGACGACGAGCGTAACACTTTGGTGTCGGGAGCAGAGTTGTTAAACTAAACTGTTCTGAAGCTAAGTAATCGCACCTCTAATTTTAGCATCCAAAAGCAGACTGGTGTTCTCATGCATGAGAATCTGTATAGTATGGTGGAATCTTTTTGAGTTTGACTTTGTTACAGAGAAATTTACCATATTAACAGGAGGATGAAGGATCTTTCCTCAGTATACCTACCTGATATGTAAAGGTAGCTATTTGATGAACACCTTCACTATAACAATAAAAAATGTGCCGCTGTTCCAACGTTGCAAATGGAGTAGAGTGAACACATTAAAAATGTGAGATAGACATCATGGTCTACCAAGTACAAAATTATAGAATGGGTCCAATAGACATCTCTAACACAATTTAAGTTACAAGGGATTAGTAGTGGGATTTGAATGGTATAGGTAAACATTCATTAATTATTTACTAGGTGAACCTATTTTGTGATTAAGCTATCGACTAACCCAATTTAGCTAACTGGCTCTGCTACCCATTCCACCAAGCAGAATAGCACAAGGGTGAGTATCTGAAATCCTACGCCAGACCAGCTATCGACCAGCTGGTGATGTGAGATGCGATGTGAGTTGAATCTACACCGCTCGCTGACAACAAGTATCTCGTCAAGGTAACTCACTGGCTACAACTGAACCTTATGCGAGATCGGTTCTACCTCAGCTTCTGTACAACCAAGAGCAGAATGTTTTCCGTGCGTCAGCGCAGTTTGCACACCACATAATTCATACTATTCCTTGCTCGGTTTTACTTGATGGAGCCAAATTGTCACAGCGTTGGATTGCTTGCCCCATGTTCGTGCGGTTCCAGGGACAATGAGGCGGTGAAGCACATCCCGTCATTGCTTTTTTTCAACAATTTATACTGCTTATTAGTAGTGCAAGAAATTCGGTGTAAGGGAGTGGTAGGGAGAGCTGAATGGGATGGGTAAACATGCATCACATCTACTCATGCGTAGGCGGACTTAAGATTTAAGTGGTTCATCGCAAACAGCTTACAAGCTACATAGGCCAAGCACAAATCTGGTTTGGTCTGCGTACTGATGCCAGCACGTAGCCTTAAGGATTACAAGCCTGCCTTGTAATCCGAGGGCGCGGGTTCCAGGCTGTGTAGGGACCAGGCGAATCTCGCAGTATCCTCAGCCCACGCGGAACTGCTGGTAGTTGCGCGATCACGAACATTTGGTACATCGTACCGGCGTACTGTTGATGCCGGTGCCATTACTGATGAATGATTACCTATATAATCCACTTCATCCTACTGCTCCCTTGTAATCAGTACGCAGGTCAAACTGCTTACAATGGAATAAATTAATTGACGGTTTTAATTTGGTAAGTTCGTCGCTTGGTTAGGAGGTTACCCTATCCTCTACACTGTAGTAACGTGCAAATCAGTGAATAGTGAGCGGCGCTATATCACATACAGTAACGTAAGACAGCCATTTCCGTCCAACATCATCATCATCATCAACAGCAGTACGTCAGCCATTTGAACTGATGCTTCGCTGCCATACAACCATGAGGACCTACGAAATAAAGAATAAGAAGAGGGAGAGAAGGGGGACTTACCTGAAAACCTTAATGCCCTAAGCAAACATTCAGGGTCAAGGCGCCTACACCTTGTGTAAACAACATACCGTCACAAACAGCTGGCTATCGTGCAAAAATAAGGCGGCATCGGCGAGACAGCTTCCTTGCGGCTTTCACTGCCACGCGTCATAATCAGCCATTACCCCGCAGATAACTCAGAACCAAACACACTTTAAACAGGCAATCCGATTAGGAGACGGCAGCAGACGCGCCACTGGTGTCTACTGCGAGCCATGTCCTGTAAAGTCTCGAGCCAAGCACAAGGCGAGTCACGTGGACTCCAGCCCGGAAGGCGAGACGGACCAACGGCATCCAGTTTGGTCGTCAGTGTCTTCATTTCCCGTTGCCAAGTCAACTTCTGTCCACCGCGAGCCTTGCGCCACTCTACACCTGGCAGACTAAACAAGGCCCCCCTAGGTAAGCGGTGACCAGGCATACGTAGCACGTGCCCGAGCCAACGCAACCTATTCAGTGCTATCTGTTGTTCTAGGGAGCTAGCATGATTATCACTACCTAGTACTCGCCTACGCACATCATCGTTGCGGACACGCTGGTGCCATCCGACACCAGCAATGCTTCGCAGACAACGATGCTTAAAGACTTGAAGGCGCCTCAGATCTTCAGACCGAAGGGGCCAAGTCTCACTACCATACAGCAGAACGGCCCTCACTGTGGCCTTGTATACACGGCCTTTCAGACAAAGGGAAACTCCCTTCTGTCACCAAAGATGCCGCAGGTTCAAGAAGGCAGCTCTGGCTTTTGCAATGCGTGAGCTGACGTCAGTTTCTATGCGCCCATCATTGCTGACGCAGCTGCCAAGATAAGTGAAATGATCAACCACCTCGAGTTCCTCGTTAGCAAGAGTCAAGGGGTCATCAAGTGGCTGGTGGTCCTGCAACAACACTTTGCACTTTGAAGGTGCGAGGTGCATACCAAATAATGGGACCACTCTGGACAGGCTATTCAGGGTTGATTGGGCCGCCACAACATGGTCGAAAAGCAAGACGATATCGTCCGCATAATCTAGATCAATTAACCTTTCACCAGGCAGCACTTCAACGCCTACATCGTGAGATTCCGCAAGGGAACACTGCATGATAGAATCCACAACGAAATTGAACAAAAATGGGGAAATCGGACAACCCTGATGAACGCCACTTGTGGTCGGAAAGCTATCCGATAGGACACCGTAGACCCTGACGCGGCCTGTAGTGTTCGAGTACAGAACACGAAGGATGTTCACATATTTCGTGGGAACACCTTTCCGCGCAAGTATTTTGAACAGAATCGATCGATCGACTGAATCGAACGCACTCTTGAAATCGAGGAACACAGCTATTGTCGGTTTGCTGTATGCGTGGCGCTGCTCTAGCATCTGCCGCAAAGTGAATATATGGTCGATACAGCCACGTCCTGGGCGGAAACCAGCCTGCTCTTCCCTAATCCGAGATTCCCGTTCCGCAGTGAGGCGACGAACGATAATCGAGGCCAGTAATTTTGTCACAATTGGCGTTAGGCTAATACCACTGTGGTTAGAACAGTCTGTGCGACTGCCCTTCTTGCATATTGCCACTATAATCGATTCGCTCCAATTAGCCGGGACGCTCTCTTCTTTCCAGACACATTCGAATAAGGAGGTCAGTGCTTTGCGGAGGACCTCACCTTCATCCTTAAATAGTGCAGGTGGGAGGGAATCCGGGCCAGCGGCACGGAAACGATTGAGGGCTGTAATCGCGTTTCGGACCTCGGCCTCCGACGGAGGCTCTAAACTAACCGTCCATGGCTCGTCCTGCATCACCTGAGTAGGAAGAGGTCCGGGAGCAGGGGGCCAGCTGAACTGATCTTGAAAGTGTTCCGCCCAACGAGCCATACGGCGCTCCTTATTGTGTATCAGCGCACCCGCGCTGTCTCTGATTGTCTCACTGACGCCTGGTTTTCTGGGATCAGTGGTGCGGATTAGCTGGAAGAGCTTGCGGTAATTGCCTACTGCTCCTGCCTCCTCCATTTCTTGAGCCCTACTGGTCCACCAGGCTTCCTTGTCAGCACGTAGGCTCCGCTTTAGTTCGCACCTAATAGCCCGTCTGGTTACATTGTGTTCAGAGCCAGCCGGGAGGTGACTTCTAGATTCCAACAGGTTCACCGACCTCTCGGATGTCCAGTGACTGGTGCGGTGACGATTGATAGTGACACAAGCAGATGCTCCTGCGTCGTGAATGGCGGCCGTAATCCTATTCCACTGAAGCTTAGCGTCATTAGGACAAGACTGCGGAAGTTCAGTATGCAGTGCGTCTTGATAGGCTTGCCTGACCGAGGGCTGAGACATTTTCTCAGTTGCCAATCGTAGGAGACATTTGGTGCGCCTCTCGGTCAAGTTTATGGAGAAACGACAACGTACCTAGGCATGATCAGAGCCGACACAGGTACTCCAGTACGAGCGGCAATCCAGGATGGAACCACGCCATCTGTAACTTATGGCAACGTGATCAATTTGGGTCCATCGCTGGTCAGCTACAGGAGGACGCCAAGTGGCACTTCGGCGCCCACTGTGTCTAAAAGCAGCGCTACTAAGAAACAACTGGTGCTCCGCACACAGTTGCAGCAGACGCTCACCGTTGTCAGTCCGTTCGGAGTTAAGCCCACATTTACCACCTAGCTGAGCTTCTGAAGAGCTCAGACGCCCTACTTGTGCATTCATATCCCCTGCAAGTACTATGATATCTGAACTAGTAGCACTGCGTAATAGCGCGTTCAGTTCGTGATAGAAAGTGTCCTTGACAGCATTAAAACTGCAGTCGGTGGGAGCATAAACGAAAATCACAAACAAACAGCGTTTTGTACTGCTTCGTGAATCAACCTTAGCTGATGTCGTCAAACGGGCTGCACATAAACGGCTTTTCACCGGAATCCAATCAACCAACAATGGCTCAGCCTTGGAGATTAGAATGATACCTACACCAGCTTGACCCATGAGTGCTGCATCGGCGTCTCCGGATGCGTGCAACCAATAACGAGAGGATAAGCCGGGTGCAGTTAATTCAATAACCCCGTTAGGGTCATTGATCCTAGTTTCGGACACGCAACACACATCAATACCCAGTGTGTCGAAGATGCGTGCGAGTGCAGCCTGCTTACCTGTGTCGGAGTGCGAACATTGAATGTCGCCATGGAAACGGGACAGCGTGGCCCTATTAGGGACTTTTGCCTAAAGGCGTCCGATAGGTGCGGTGGGATGGTGACTGCAGATGGTTCTACTTCAGTGGCATTTCGGTTGCTGTCAATTAAGCTGGGAATTATGCAAGAAAGGTTAGTAATGGGGGTCGGGATGGGAGTAAGAGAAAAAGGTGAAAAGAAAATAAGGGAGGCGCCAGCAGTAGCATGTTTTCGCCTATCCGCCCTGCTGTATGCAGCAGATAAGGCGACCCTTGATAATCTGCGCGACGGCCGATGCAGGATGAAGTTTATGTTTGAAGAAAATTTCATGGTTGTATGTGGGCTGAGATGCTGCCAAGGCGCCCAGACCTAGACAGGAGGACGATTAGGGTCCTCATCCAAAGCCCTTGGCTCAAAAGCCTGTCGGCAAGGCAGCGGGGAGGTGGCAGTGATTTCGTTTTACAGAAATGGACGCCATCGCATTTCAAACCCCCAACCTGGAGGACCAGGAGACTGAGTTTGTCTGACCTCTCACCATTGACCAACCTGGTAGGAGTAGCTCTCAAGGTGCCCGGAGGCATCACCCAGTATAGCTCAACGGGTCAATGAGGTACGCAAACCTTCGCACCACGTTAAGGTCCAGTCTCGTTGTAGCTCAGCGATCCCAACCACTGACTGGCAATATTCGAGTTGCAGGTTCCAGTACTGCCGACCATTCCCGAATGGATGAAATGGCCGTACAGTGCTTTCCCGGGCTTGTGATGGCTGTTGAGGTGAGTCCAAATGTGATGAGATTCTACCTGTACAATTTAAATGCTCTAACATTTAGGAAACAACTTTAGTTTTTTGACCCAGGATATCAGTTTGCACCGAAGGCGAGGCGTTTCGTTTGCATAAACTTATTTCGATCGCTTGTTGCGGGGTGTTCCTGATTGATTTGGCATCGTCTGGGATGGATGCGTTACCCACGGCAATATAGTCCGAAGTTGGGTTCACAAACTCGTATCATCCAGTAGAGTGTAGAACCCTAGCAACCGTCAGAGCATTACCGACCCAACGCATCAAAAAGAATAATCAAACTGTCTGCATGGCAAACATAATCTGATGAGATTGGACATAATGGGGACACGAGCTAGTGTCAGCTATACTGGAGCCCATGTTTAGGGCGGCTACAAATTCTATGGCATCCCAGTGCGAGCCTAACCACCTTTTCCATATTTACCTGTGGTTTTATATGTGAACAGTCACTGAATATCCTCACCTACAAATGCACTGTATGTACTCTGCGCTGCACCATGTACAGTGCCATCCGCAAAATCCACATTCAGCGCAAGTCAGAAAGAACGAGATCAGGAGACGTGGTTGAACTTTCCAAGGACGGTGCTCAGAGATGCGGAGTGAAGCAATTTTCCTTCATGTGCTTCAAGAATCACTTTTCAGTGAATTTAGCATAGGTTCTACCGCTTCTTGTTAGGCACAAAGGGAAACGATCAGGGCCTTTGTTACCACAAGCATTATACTCACCTGAGTAGCAAATTCAATCGCCTCTTCACATCGTCGAGCGATCATCATGGATCTCCTCTCCTCCCGTTCCTCGTCTCGCTTGCGGCTCAGAGACGCCGTGACTGATCTGGGTGTCCGATTGGTCGCGACGTTGTGAACTGGTCTCTTTTCTTCCGACCTCGATCGATGCGTGTTCCCGGTAGGCTGACCAGAACGAACTGCTGCGTTGAGCCTTTGCTTGCTTCCTGCTTCAGACAAAGCACTGAAGGCACAAATGCTGCAGAATGATTGGCACGCAAATTCATACATTATACGCAAATAACAGATGCAAAATGCAAGATGAAACGCCCATGGCCAACCTTAGACCATCAACGCAACTGCCTAACAACAAAGAATAAAATCCGTTAACTAACTGTGTTCACAAAATCGCAGGTAAACAAACGGATAAAAGTGGAGAAACAGATAATTAGAAGAAAACGTCAAGATATGATGGGAGTATACACTCGAACGAACGTGCGGTGCCAGCCCAGCAATGAAGCCGTTAGACTGCCGCAAGCAAAGGCGGCAGCCGATTGGACATTCACACGTTTCTCGCATGCACGCTGATTGGCAAACAGCTGGACGCATTGGAGTGAGTTTGTTTGACTGAATCAAAGGAGAAATGTCATGCATCAACAAAGGTCGTTAATTATGGATCCAACTAGCTGTATATACCGATATGTTTCACTCGCCCTCTGCCTGCGTTTTCGCCTGGTCCTGTTGTTTGCAGAATATACGTTTTGTCCCTGAAGGACCGACTTTTAACATGGTGTCAGAGAAGGAGAAGAACATTAGTACCACCCAGACGATGATTGGAGCTGCACCGGCTATTCAAATGCCTGCCCCGCTGAACATGGATGAACGCAGTTTGGCAAGCAACTGGCGTTTGTGGAAGAGCAAATGGATGGATTTCTGCACTTTATCGCGTCTGGACAAACAACCGATGGCGTACCGCTTGGCCATGTTTCGACACGCAGCAGGAGATGATGCGCGCCGCGTGCTAGAGACATTGTGTTACGACAAGAGCGAAGATGCCAACAATCTGGAGACAGTTCTTGAGAAGTTCAGTGAATACTGCGAAGGCCAAACAAACGAGACATTTCAACGTTACCTCTTCTTTTCGCGGAACAGGCGGCCAGGTGAATCCGTTGACACGTACGTCACTGAGCTCAAGATTTTGGCCCGATCCTGCAGTTTCTGTAAATGCATGGCGGACAGTCTCATACGGGACCGCATTGTTCTTGGGATCAATGACGAAGGTTTGACGAAGCGACTATTACGAAAGCGCAACCTATCTCTGCAGCAATGTATCGACATCTGTAACAGTGAGTCCTCCACTGCCTATCAGTTCCAGCAGATGACAATCACAGGTGATTCAGAGTTGTGCACCGTTTCCAGGAGCAAAACTACGAAGGCCACGACCGCGCGACAGGAGCCCTGCAACTTCTGTGCAACACGACATCCGAGGAACCGCGAACAGTGTCCGGCGTGGGGCCGCATTTGTGTCAAATGTGGGAAGCGCAATCACTTCGCCCGCTGCTGTCAGTCGACAGATGTCAGTGCACTCGTTCCAGACAAATCAACAGAAGACGCCGAACAATCGATTGGTAACGTGTCTCGGAAAGCGTCGCAGAAGTGTGTCTATGCAAGTCTTCTGATCGAGGGACGGTCTGTGCGATTCCAGTTAGACACAGGCGCGACGATCAATATTTTGCCCAGAAAGCACTGCCGCGGCGTACAAATTCAATCGGATCAAGATTATTTACGCATGTGGAATGGTTCCAGACTCAAGCCAAAGGGCTCGGCGACAATTGAAGTGGTCAATCCGAGAGACGGTGTTTCGCATCGTCTGCAGTTCGTGATCGTGGATGAGGATCTCACGCCGATTCTCGGCATTGATTCGATTTTATCTCTTGGCTTTGTCATTTTTAACCATGATCGTTTTGTGTACGCTTGTCAGAGTGAAGCCGATGTTAGTGACCTGTATCCGTCTGTGTTTAGCCCGGGTTTAGGGGAATTCGAGGGTACCGCTCACCTGTCATTAGATCCTTTGGCACGCCCGATTGCGTTACCTGCTAGGAGAGTCCCATTTGCGCTACGTGACCGATTTTCCGCGGAATTGAACAAGCTGGTTATGCAGGGTGTGATTGCAAAGGTTGATGAGCCAACAGACTGGGTTAGCCAGGTCGCAATCATTACGAAGAAAAACGGCGAACTACGCGTATGTATAGACCCGAAGCCACTGAATGAGGCCCTGCGTAGAGAACATTATGCGCTACCGACGTTAGAAGATGTTTTACCACGTTTGACAAAAGCTAAGTTTTTCACGAAAGTAGACTTTTCTTCCGCATTCTGGCACGTTGTTCTAGACGACGAATCCAGTTTCCTCACCACATTTGCTACACCGTTCGGACGTTATCGTTGGCTGCGATTACCGTTTGGCCTGAAGGTGTCTAGCGAAATTTTCCAAAAGCGTTTGGTGCAAGCAATAGATGATTTAGATGGCGTAACCTGTGTGGCAGATGACGTTCTGATTTACGGTTCTACCGAAGAAGAGCATGACACTAAGCTACACCGGTTCCTGAGGCGTTGCGTGCAAAAGAACATCAAGCTAAAACGCGAGAAAGTAGAGCTGCGGAAAGAGGAGGTGATTTTCCATGGGCATGTGTTAACATCCGACGGAATCAGAGTTGACCCAGGGAAAATTAAGGCGATACAAGAGATGCCGTCCCCTAACGATGTGAAGGCAGTCCATCGCCTAAACGGTATGGTGAACTATTTAAGCCGGTTCCTACCAGGACTCGCTGATGTCATGACTCCGATTAGGCAGTTAACTCACAAAGGAGTAAATTGGAGCTGGGGGAAGGAACAGGATTTGGCTTTCGAAACCATTAAGAACCTCATCAGTAATGCGCCCGTACTCGGATATTACGATCCAGCACAACCATTGGAGGTACAGTGTGATAGTAGCCAGAGTGGAATAGGTGCTGTTCTGTTGCAGAACGGAAGACCTTTGGATTTCCGCAGTCGAGCACTCACAGAGGCCGAGAAGCGGTACGCCCAGATCGAGAAAGAGATGCTAGCAGTGGTCTATGCCATGGAGCGTTTCAATGACTATACTTTTGGAAGAAAGACAACCGTGTACACTGATCATAAGCCGCTGGTGTCGATAGCCACTAAACCACTGAATAACGTTCCTCGCCGTCTGCAGCGTATGCTTATCCGGCTCCAGAAGTATGACATTGACATTGTGTACACACCTGGCACACAGATGTTCATCGCGGACACCCTGTCGAGAGCACATCCGCCAGTGGCCGAACATCAGCTAGAAGAGATCGAGACAGTTAGCATGGTGCAGCATCTGGCAGTGACAGAAAACCGTTTGAAAGACATAAGGCGTTTCACGGAGGAAGACCAAACTTTTGCAGCTTTGCGAGACGTTATCCTCAATGGGTGGCCAGAAACAAAGAAGCAGCTCCCGAAAGAATTAACACCCTACTTCAATTTTCGGGACGAACTCACTGTCTGTGACGGTCTGTTGTTCAAGGGAAGTCGAATCCTAATCCCTTCTTCTCTCCGAAAGGAGATGCTGGAGCATGTCCATCGCGCTCACCTGGGTGCAAATTACACCATTAATCGAGCAAGAGAACTGATGTTCTGGCCAGGAATGACAAGTCAGATCAAGGATCATGTGTCTAACTGTGAGGCGTGCCGTTCACACGACATTCGGCAAACGAAGAAACCGATGATGCTGCATGATGTTCCGGACCGACCGTGGCAAAAGGTAGCAGTGGATCTATTCTGGGACAACGGAAAGGATTACTTACTCACGGTGGACTACTATAGTGATTACTTTGAAATCGATTTACTCACCACCACGACCACGGAGGCAGTAATCAACAAACTCAGATGTCAATTCGCACGGCACGGGATACCGGAGGAGCTAGTCTCGGACAACGGTCCCCAGTTCAGCAGCAGGGCATTCCAGGTTTTCGCAACCAAATGGGAATTCGCACACCGGCAAACCAGTCCCTATCACAGTCAATCAAATGGGAAGGCAGAGTCGGCAGTGAAGCAAGCCAAGCGACTATTAGCGAAGGCTAGAGATACTCGGGAGGACCCATACCTCATGCTACTGGAAAGTCGCAACACTCCTTCAACGGATATCGGCCTGAGCCCAGTGCAGCGCCTATACAGTCGAAGGACCAGAACTGTGATGCCTGCATCCGCAACACTTCTGCGCCCTGTCACGCCACAACTTGAGAAAGTACAGAACAGTTTGAGAAGGCGAATGGCTACTCAGAAACGGTACTACGACAACGGCGCACGGGAATTACCTGAGCTGACAGTGGGGGAAGAAGTATGGGTTGAACCAATTCCCGATGGACAGGAGCGGTGGAGAAAAGGAGTCGTGGCTGCGAAAGTCGGTGAAAGGTCATACGAAGTAAATGTTGGAGGGAAGAAGCTGAGAAGAAACCGAGTACAGCTGAGGAGATGTCCGAGGCGACAGCATGAATCAGGGAGAGAGCGTTATACTGCGTGCGGCAATGAGGCGACATCGGCAGATCCAACAAAGAGGACGCGAAGTGGTAAAGTGTATGGACTATTTAGCAAAGTACAGCAGCAAAAGCATGAAAAAAGGGAGGATGTGATGGGAGTATACACTCGAACGAACGTGCGGTGCCAGCCCAGCAAGGAAGCCGTTAGGCTGCCGCAAGCAAAGGCGGCAGCCGATTGGACATTCACACGTTTCTCGCATGCACGCTGATTGGCAAACAGCTGGACGCATTGGAGTGAGTTTGTTTGACTGAATCAAAGGAAAAATGTCATGCATCAACAAAGGTCGTTAATTATGGATCCAACTAGCTGTATATACCGATATGTTTCACTCGCCCTCTGTCTCCGTTTTCGCCTGGTCCTGTTGTTTGCAGAATATACGTTTTGTCCCTGAAGGACCGACTTTTACATGGTGTCAGAGAAGGAGAAGAACATTAGTACCACCCAGACGATGATTGGAGCTGCACCGGCTATTCAAATGCCTGCCCCGCTGAACATGGATGAACGCAGTTTGGCAAGCAACTGGCGTTTGTGGAAGAGCAAATGGATGGATTTCTGCACTTTATCGCGTCTGGACAAACAACCGATGGCGTACCGCTTGGCCATGTTTCGACACGCAGCAGGAGATGATGCGCGCCGCGTGCTAGAGACATTGTGTTACGACAAGAGCGAAGATGCCAACAATCTGGAGACAGTTCTTGAGAAGTTCAGTGAATACTGCGAAGGCCAAACAAACGAGACATTTCAACGCTA